TAATGCAATTCCAACCGTGAGTATTGCACTGGGGAGAAAAATCAAGGCATAATTGTTACTTAATATTATTAGAAGGAAATTTTTAAAAAGTATTTCATACCGTGATTAGCAGGTAAATTGTTTTTCACAATTCTTTGAGAACTTTTAAACAGTCCCCTGTAAATCCTACATATTGATGAGACCATTGTGTTTGTGATACAACAAAACTAAACTATAGCTTAGTTGTTTATTTTTGTAAATTTTTTATGATTTTTATTTATAAAGGTCAAATGTCTTACTATAGAAAATTGGAGAGCACAAAGTAGTTCAAGAAAAGCAAAATTACTCATAGTCTCATGAAACAACCATAATCACTGCTAACACCTGGTATATTCGAGGCTAATCTTTCTTGGAGGGAGGATATTAATAAATATTTTATATATTTGTAATTATACAGCTATACAAAGTAAAAATATTATTTTTGAAGCATGTCTTAATATAACAATACATTGAAAAATGTAAAAAACAAAGAAATGCAAAAGAAAAAATAAAAATGGTCAAAATTTCACTGTCAAAATATAACCAATGCTATGTCTGTGCATCTTTTATAATCTATTTTATTCGTTTTTGAAATTTTCTAATATTCAGAGTGATCATGCTGATTTTAAATCTAGTTAGCACACCAGTGCCTGGTATCAGATATGAATTCCACTGGGCAGTTTATTAGTCATCCAATTTAAGAAACCCAGTGGCCCAGATAATTCAATTTTGGTTTTACATACTTTTTTTATCCAAGTTTTCATATACATCATCAGGCACTTAGGATGCTGTTTTCCTACAAATATGCTTTTATAGGTTACAAATATACTTTTTATAGCAGTTTTCCTTGATCATTTTTAGTCATGTTAAAAAACATAATGAAGGTTTAGCAATTTTAACAAGTACTAGAATAGAGTGGTAAAATGTTTTTGTTTGAATTGTTGATCAGAAAAAAGAATAGATTTCTAAATCAAGTATAGATTAAGAATTGTTTGACAAGGAATATATTATTAGAACTGGGAAGAATCAGAATCAGAGGACAACCATTAATTGCAGGGAAAAATGTACCCCTGCCCTGTGGAATTCACTTGAAAGATCATAATTCTATTGGATTTCTGCATTTCATGTCCAAACCACCTAATGGAAGATTTGCCAGTCTTTTTAAATTATAACAACCCGCCTTATTTATATGTTTATTTTGGCTTATTTTTAAACTTAAGTGATGTCATAAGTAATTGCTTTACTAGCAGGGTGGATAACTTTTGAGCCCACATCTGAGCTAGAATATCTTTCTTTTAAAGAAAAGAATATCTTTAAAAAAAAGAATATGCTTCTTTTAAAGTTGGTACATTTAAAGCAACTTGCCTAGGTAAAAATTCTTTAGTCATAACATTTTTCCTTAAAATACAGTGAATTTGGTTCCATTGCCTTTTGGCATTTTATCATGCAAATGAGATGTGTAGTGTTTATTCATTTTTTTTTCCTTTGTAAGTCATTTTTATTTCTATTTCAATAATTTTTAAACATATTCAGATACTATTGAAAGAAATATGACCACCTTTTCATTTATTTTGCCTGTAACCTAACGAACTCTTTAATTATATTTTCAGGGTTTTTTTCTGCTATAAATACTACATTTTTTACCTCAGAAATATCTGTAATTATCAGGTTGTATCTTAATTGTCCTATAAATATATTTTCATCTCTTTTTAAAATCTTTTTTCTTTTCCATAATAGTAATGAGTTTTTATGTTAAATATTAAATACTTGATGTTGTCAATTTACTTTTCAGATGTCATCTTATTTCAGGCAAGGCTGAATCTAGGTGCTCAATTGATTTTAGGAGATTGTTTCTCTGAGGTAAAATGTTGGCCGTGAGAACCTTTGGGCTTTTGTTTAATACTTTTTCTAATTTCAGGAGTAAAAACTCCCCTGTGTCCTAACATCCAAGTCAATCCTTGAAGAAGGAATCTAATTGGCCTCTCTGGAATGTGCACTAACACATACCTAGTCAATGTGAGCAGAGGAATGGAATACAGCAGTGCCCCCTTCTCCCAAATGAATGTATTCCAAGACCCCAGTGAATGCTTGAAACTGCAAATAGCACTGGACTCTATATATACGATGATTTTTTTCTACATTGTACATACGTGTGATAAAAAAATAAAGTTTAATTTATAAATTAGGCACAGTAAGAGAAGAACAACAATAAATCATAATAAAACAGAACAATTATAACAATATACTGTAATGAAAGTTAGACAAATATGGAATCTCTCACTCTCTTTCTCAAAATAAATGATTATACTGTACCACAGGTAATCAAAACAGCAGAAAGCAAAACTGTGGATAAGGGAGAACTACTACACTCTGGTTGGCCTGATGGGGAGGCACTTGATTAAAGACTACCACCGTCTTGAGAGAGTCACTTCTCACAAGAGAAAGTGAGTTCCTTTGCCAGAAACATGGGAAGGAATCAGGCTATACAAAAAGACAAAAAAGAAAAGGAAAACACACACCATTTTACTAACCCATACTATCTTGCTTTCTACTAAAAATGTTAAACAATTTTCCAATGATTTCTGTAGGAGAATATTTCCAGAGTTATATGTTCTACCTCTGAATCATCAGGATTTTTTTGTTGTTGTTTTTCAGCATTAATTACTGATTCCATTTTCCCCCTGCTTGCTTATCCTAGAAAAGAGATAGATCTGTCAAGATTCAACATCAATGAAGAAATGTGATTTTTCTCTTTATTTTCATCTACAGAATACTTAGTTGCTATATGCAAAGCTTTTGTATGTCTAAGGGTGAGGCGCACAGGTCCCTTCATAATACATAGCCAACTTTAATTGATTGCTGCTGTGTTATCCTGGGATAAGTTTCTAGACCAATATCATGTCTTCTGATGGAGCACATGCAAACATATATTTCTGCCTCCATTAACTGGTACAAAACACAACTTTCAGAGTACCCTGTGTAACCACCTGTCTACCCTGCGTCATACCTTGATTGATTACCTTGATGATGATGATGACTTTGATGTTGCAATGTACATATGGATGTAGAAAGAAAGAAGTGGAGGGCGAACAGGAGAATGTATTCTATACTTCACAAAACCCCACACCTATACAGTAGAAGAACAGCTGCCTATTTCTGTCATAGGTACAATTTAGGTCTCTGAAAGGGTTTACACACTGGGCAATGGTTTACACATCTACCCACATTTACTCCAGAAGATAAGGTTGTTCTGTTTAATGAAACAAATCATAACTCGACTACCAAATTTTTTCTCTATACAGCCCCACATTTATTTTAACTGAATTTTAATAATTAGTTTGTCATTGATTTGGATTTTCAGTATTCTCAATTTTTATGTTTTTTTCTGGACTTAGGAAATAGAAAGATATTCTATCTTGGTAATCAAATCCTATTTTAAAGTGTAAGTGTGTTTTTAAAGGCAGTTTGTAGAGTATACAATTTTTCTCTATCTTCTCCATCACTCATTTACTATTTGGACATATGGTTGTTAAAAAGACTGGACATATAAGAAAGGTGAATGAACTAAAATTGTATTTGCTTATTTTTTAAAATTTAATTAATTTTTATTTTAAAGTAATATGGTTAGCTTCTGTTTTGAATGCAGAAGACACAAGAGAATATGGCTAATGACAAAAAAAAAAAAAAGTGCCAGGTTATACTAAAGTCATAAGTTTTCTTGAGCTTAGGTCACAATGCAGGCAAAAAACCAAATTCCCAAGAGTGACAATTACCTCCAGGATGAGATGAGACCATGCATTCATTGTTCCACCTTTGGCAGAACAAGGTAAAAATGGCTGCCATAAAAGCAAACGATAAGAAATCAGCTAAAATCTTAATAAATTTTGAAAAACTATATGTGTACTAACATGTAAGATTAGAATAACAGAGATTCACAAACACAATGGGAGTTTGCACTCACTCACAAACTTTTTTCCATGGACCTCTGTAAGACAGACCAGCAACAAGGCTGCACACAAGAGAAAAGTCTCCTTCATTGTGCAAGAATAGGAAGTAATCAGCGAAGGCTGGGGCACAGGCACAAACCACTATGCAATTTCCTAGACTTTTGTCTTGAATGAAACAAGAGCCTTCAGTAGTAGAGAGATGGGAAGTAAGTATAACCATCCCTAGAGGGCAGGCAAAGGTCCACTGCTCTCGGAAAGAGGCATAAGCAAAAATCCTCTACACCTGAGGGAGGTGCAGGAGGTCCTCTTGGGCCTAAGATCCTGAAGCAGTAGAAACATGAGATCTACTACTGATTGGGGAGGGGAAGGAGTCTCTTGCACCCACAACCCACCACAAATATGAAGCAGAGTATGGCTGCCATGGCAAGGAGGGAAAGATGCACTGAGAAAGCCCACCCAAGGCTTAAACATACAGGCTAGGAAGGAGAACAAGTTGGAACCCCTACCGCATGCCTTAACCCCACCATAAGAGCAGAGCCAAGCAACAGGCAAGAGCAGTCTACCATGGGAGAGACAGGGGTGTGGGGAGAAACCCCTTCTGTGGCACAGGCATGTAGGGAACACTGAGAGCTGAGGGTTGAGCAAGAAGACAGAAAAAACCTTACAGTGCCCCAGTTTCTATTCAAAGAATGAGATGACAGCAATCCACCAAAAGAAGTCAAAAGAAGAATTTGAAGTTGTGGCACAGTGAAAGTAATAATTGCAGCAACCAAATCCAAAAGTAACTCCTGAATAGATTTACTCATCAGAAGAGATCTATTCATTTACAGGAATAAACACTATTTTTTCTCAGTCCTTACTGTTCTTCCACACTATGTCTGGCACTCAGTCAAGGAGGATACAAAAAGGCCACTAGATTAAAGCAACCTGTTTTCAGGAAATAAGGAAGTAACAGAATCAGACAGAGATAACCCTGCTATTGGAACCATCACACAGGGACTTTGATACAATTCTGATTAATACATTACAGAATCTAGTAGAAAGTAGAACACATGCCTGAAGCAATGGGGAAGTTCAGTATGGTGGTGGAAATGATAAGAATCTAATGAAAATGCTAGAAATTTCTATTTTAAAAGACAGCAAGATGAATAATTTCTTCAATGAGTTCATCAATAGGTTAACACAGATGAATCAGTGAATGTGAAAATAGGGAAATAAAAATTATTCAAACTAAATAAAATACAAAGAAAAACCAGTGGGTGTGTGTAGGGGGTTGGGGAAGAACCAGAACAGTTCATCCAAAAGCTATGAGAAAAGTCAAATTGTAACTGGAATCTCAGAAAGGGAAAAAAGAGAAAATGAGGCATAATAAATATTTGAAGAGATAATGTCGGAAAATATTCTAGAAAGAAAAACAATTAAGAAAACAAAGACAAATGAACAAACAAAAATGTGGATCCAGTAAATTGAGAACCACAAGGAGATAAAAGTAGGATAAAAGTAATATATAACTATTACTGAATTCTAAGCAATTCAGATAACCAAAAATAAGAAAAATAAAAATACCAATAAGTTTGCAATCAAATAAGTTATTAACATGTTGTTAAAAGTCATTCTAGTCTCCTCTATGCATTTACAAGCTTTTTTTTTTTTTTTGATATTTTAAATCCCTTTTGAAATCATTCTAAAATTCCTGAAGTAATTATTGTTATTATTGTTCTCTGGCCTGAGAATTCTGACATTCTCAGAAGCTTAGATTTTAGGATAAGCAGAAATTGAGAAAATAACCCTACCTATTAGCCTGGGCATTTGGCAACAATCTCAATGTTCTGGTATATTTGTTCAATGTTAAAAACTAAATTTCAATAATTTTAATAGCTACAGAATAAATACTAATACCTGTGCATTATTAGCCTTGTATTTTATACACACACACACACACACACACATACATATATAATTTTATTATAAAACATTTCAAGGAACAATTCTAGGGTTTAAAACAGATCAGTGATGCTCCACTACCACTTCCAGGTGAAGACTGCTAAAGCAAAATTTTAATACTTCATACCCTACTTTTATCCTCTCCTCAATATAAGCAATTTTGATTATTAGATAGTTTCTCTTCTCCTTCCCTCCTGGCTACAACACTTCTTCTATTGAATTTAGATATTCACTCTTCACAATATAATTTAAGTTTGGATAAACTTGTTTAGAATGAAGAATGTTGATCTTGTACTTCACTGTGTCAGTGGAAACCCAAGTGGCTTGTTTCCAAATATTTTATCCCTAAAATGTTTGCCAGTTCAATTCAAAATATAATCACAATCATTTCACTCTTTAAAGCCAGGATAACATTTTAAAGAAAATAGATATTTTTATATGTAGGAAAAATACCCAAAACTTAATCTATCATCAAATTTAAAAATAAAACCAATGTATGTAGAAAACACAGAATGCAGACAGATTTAAATAAAAAAAGATGTGTTAATACTGACAATTAAGAGAAAAAAATACATGAGTTACTTTA